GATACTATCGTGCTGCATTGATTCTAACGCGGTTAGCCATCGCGGTTGTTAATTCGGTAAACTGCACCGCGCAACCCGCCCCAAACTTTAGCGAACGAGCGAGTTCCCTTTGATGCAACTTATTCTGTATCTCCGCTGGTTTATGCCCGGAGGTTGTCCGGGGTTCCCGTGTTCGCGGTCAAAACCAAATAGCGCAGTTTTAGCACGGCGCAGTTTCGTACTGCACCGGCACGCAGAGATGCAGTTGCTCCCACAGTTGCGCAGTGGGTGCCTTATTTATTGCCCGAGTTTCTGTCGACAATCTGACGGGGGTCGGGGTACAAGACCCTTCTTCCGACTTTATCAGAGTTACCGCGGCCCCGAGTTCCCAGGCGTATTTCGCGGTACGCTCTGCGGTCGGAAGAATGCACATTGCACCTGGGGATGTGCATCCTCGGAGACAGGATGACTCGTGTCGCACGAAAATTGTATCGTTCCTAGCGACGCATACGTAATCGTTCAGATTCGCTCTGCATCTTACGTTATACGTGTTTCACGATAGTCACGTCTAAACGCTTTGTAGAATCGCATATGCCACGCGGAGAATTTACGCGTATGGTGTGCAATAACGTTTCTAAGAATGATCGATTTTCAATTCATAATCGAAGAATAACGACTCAGTTTTAAGAAGATACAAATTTACGGTCCGCTACTCTACAGATATAGGTAGATTACCGTTATACATGCCGGGGTGGAAAACTTGCCGACGTGAGGATGGGCCGATTGGGCCGTGTAATCCCGTTGAAATTAAATCGCTTGATTTATTCGAGTATTTTCTCTTGCGTTGTGGTTCGTATAACGGTAGACATACTTTACACAACTATGTTGCGCATAGTTCATAAACATCATGCAGCTTTTGTCTTTACCGAATTCCGTCGTACACGTTGGATTAATTGCAGTTAATTAATTTTGTTCCGTAAATTGCTCAAGTTGATTTATGTAAACCAATCTCGGAAAGAAAAAGTAATTGTAGCCATGCGGAGGGTTAATTTTTGTAATTGGTAAAGTAGAATTTAGAAAATCGTATATTATTCAATAAATTCTTTCCGAAGTATTATAATAGACATTTTAAAGATTTTTTTTTGCGCCGAACATATAATGTCGATGGTATAAGAATTTGCGTAGCAAAATGTGTTCACAGCGCGAAAAAATTCTTTGAGAAAAAAATCTGCTTCGAAGAGAAAAAAGTAACTTTTATCGAACAGTTACCATCCGAAGATCTAAACTTTTAATTATATTTTTTTTTAATTTTCATGAATATATGTTAGGAAGAAGTTTTTGTACAAAACTTTTATTCTGTTCCGAATACCTACACTTGTTCAAATCTGTTTTAAAAATAAAATTAAAATTGTTTCTCTCTAATCACAAAATCATATAATTTATCATTTGTTATTTTTACAAACTAAAATACTAATTTTGATAATACTTAATCTTATTAACTTAACAATGCTTAATTACAATAGCAAAAATTAAAATAAATACATTTAATTAATTAAAACGAACGATCAATTAATATTATATAGTTAATGTATCCGGTCAGTTTTCGGAGCCCCGAAATAATAAACCGTATTATTTTAATATGGAAAGAGGCCCGGAACGGCTAAGCCAGGATCATATCGAAAATGCAATTTGCCGCGACTAGACGTCAATTAGCTTTTCTCGCAGGAAATCTCGTTAACAATCCTCTGCGCCGCATGGCTCAATATGATTAATGCGGTCGACTCGTTAAGCAGGCTTGGTTAGTTGGCCATATTCGTACAGTCTATACTCATTAGTCTCAGTCTTTTTATCCTTCTGTATCTTAGCCCAGAAACAAATATGTATTAGACTAATTTCACAATGCTCGACTTTACCTGCAATAACTCAATTAAATTCGCAGTACTTGAAAGAAATATTAAAAAGAAGTGTCACTAATTAATTTTCATTAAATATTCTATTTTCTCAACGTTGTATCTACTACTACTTGTAATTAAATTTGAAATTAAATTTCTATTAAAAGCGGACGTGCTCAGTACCACACATGCTTGCAAAGAAAACCAACTTAAAAGACTAACTCAGATGGAATTGTGCATTTTATGTAGAACTGCACTAACCATGCAACATATTCCATGCACCACCTGCTCGAAAAAAACGAGAAAGTCTGAATTTAGAGCCAATACGTATTCTTCGATAATAATGTTTGAATAAGAAAAAAGTTCAAACCTTTTATACATTATGCTGTCATTTAACATATTTAATGCATGACGGAGTTAACCCATATCGTCTTCTTTCGCGTCATCGCTAAGATTACTATTCCGTATTCTGCGATGGCCACTTGCCAACTCTCAAATCCAACCTGGCCGCAATAATAGAGCACAGCGGCGCGATTGACCTCGTGACCCGACAGGTGTATCCGCATCGCTCCAGCGACTAAATTCCTTACGATCAAGCAGTCATAAAAAAATGTCGAAGAAAACGTTCCGAGAGCGAACGACATTAATAACTCATTAGTAACTAAGGAGAAAGCCTGCTATTAATTGGACCAATTATAAGCCGACGTTTTTCGAAGAAGTAAGTAATAATACAGCAAACTTGCATTTACGTTGGCTGTTAGTTTAGCCTCAAACGAACGAGTGATTTTCTGGATAGAAATTACGGTATATTCTTGAGAAATTGGAAGTTTAAATATTTATATCCGCCGGTCAAACAGGTACGTACCACAAACTTTACCGATAGAAGTTCGAATCGTGCACAAAAGATGAGAATCATAATTTCCGTAGTTGTCTTATCGGCCGGATTTGCGGGCGCTCGATTGCACAAAGATAATTAATTCAACGTAAGTTCAACGTTGTTTTCGCGAAAATTAAGGTTTTATTTGACTATTAATTTTTCAACGGAAGTATTCAACAAATTTTTCGCAAAAATAGTTATTTTTTGGATATTTTATTAATCACCGCATGATCATCTTTTTCCATGTATAAGAAATAGTATTAAATTTTTAATGATCAAATAAAAATTTTAAGTTAAGGATGTATCAGGTGTATAGTCTTTGCAAAAAGTGATTAGAATTGGAAATTTATATTTTCATTAAAATGAATATTATATATTACATATTCATTATATATAAATATTATATAATAATATAGTATAAAAGTTCAATAAGATCAATATGCAGCAAATTTTATAATTTGAATAAAAATTTTCTCATTTTATCTTTATTTTTTATAAACATATATATTTTTTATAGAAACAATTTTTGATCCTGCAGATTATAAATCGCCAAACTTGTATTACTTTTAAATGGAATACAGAAATATTTATAAATTTCCATTTTATTAAAAAATACGTGTAATACTTCCTTAATAAAAAAAAATCTACACAATACAGTAGATACACAAGATTTGTGTGGCCGACCGAGTATGGCCCTCTTCACTCATTTGTTGAATATCAATTCATTTTCACTCATTAATATTTAGAAATTAATTATAAAAATTACGTTATCTTGAATATCGTTATCTTGAATTAATATACATATGAAGGTATAACCCTCGGATGGTCCATTTTTAGAATTAACCTACATTGAAGCAAAGTGATCCGCGACGAATTCCTTCCAATTTTGTCGACTCAAATCAAGTTGGGACCAACGTTAAAGAACTTCAAGAATAAGATCAACGTTCTGCTTATTCTCAGTGCAAAGAGCATCCATAAAAGTCGGTTGCGGCCGGCTCTTGGGAGTGAAAAAAATCTCGTTTGCGCGACTTAAAACGCGACGGTGCACGATGCAAAGTGAGTTGCAGTGCTGAAAGTGCACTGTCAAGATAAATGAATCGTAAAAAAAGATGTTTACCGCGACGGCGCGTACCGCGTTCGTTTATTATTCGTTGCCCCCGAAGAGCCGCGTATAAGGTCGCGAAATAAAGATAAATGTAAATTGAAAAAATGCCGAGCTCTTCTTCAAACTAAAGTAGGTTATTTTTCTACCTTCTCTTTAATTTTCGTCGCTGCGTAATATCACACTGAATATTGCAAGCGATATTGCACAAGCAAACATATCAAATGTATCATCTATTATTTATTTCAGAGACGGAAAGAGATTTTTTCAACATTGCTGCTTAAATAAAAATTTTATGTAATGTCATGAAAGCAAAGTTTAAATATACTTAAATGTATTTATCGTACTTTATATGAATAGTAAAAAAGGCGCATCATTAATAGTTAAATATCAAATGCTATAAAAACGAAATGTATTCTAATAAATTAAATATTTAAATAGCCGCATCAGCCTAATGTCGAAATATTGCAGATAGTACCGCGTGAGAAGTAAAAAATAAATAAATATTAATCTCCCACTCTTATCACTTGCACAGTAAATCTTTCTTGAATTCATGTTAAGTTATATTTCTACAGCTAATATATCCATGTCAGAAAGTCTGTTTGCTGCATAATATGAAAACTGTGGCACGCAATAATAGGAATAATTTGAGAATATTTGCATTTATAAGACGCCTTTAATAAAAGAATATTTATAGTTTGACTATTATGCAGTTTTCCTGTAATATATATGATGTAACGGTTTTAATTAGATAATGCACAGTACTTCACAATACTTCTTTTTTCTATTTTTTATTTTTTATCTGCGTTAATTTAATTATTAATTTGATAATCTGTATAATCATAAACCTGAAAAACCTTTTTTCCATACAATAAATTTTTTTAATCATGCATAGCAAATACAACTGAAATGGAAATATAATAAAAATGGAATATTTTTCTATTCAATGCTCAATGTAAACATTTTTTACTTATACTATACAGTTGTCGATTCAAAGTTGTAATTTTATTATTCATGATCCCATGAATCTCATTACAAAAAAGCTTTCCGTATCATTATCCGAATGTTTTTATTAATATCTTTTGATATCTAAGTATTAAATGATATCATTTGTTATAACTTTATGAAAGAGATCTAATATCTGTTACAGAGTTTACGCATTATGGCGAATACGACAGATGCCTGTGAAACTCGCGATCCATGTCAGCACGGTGGCATTTGCATTTCTACAGACAGTGGACCGATCTGTGAGTGTCGCACCGGCGATTATGAAGGCGCATATTGTGAGAAAGGTTAGTAAATCTAAACTTTAAATAAACTGAATTCTTAAACTAATTAACAAAATAGCTATGTCTTACCAATTATATTTTGTTAAATATTATATTTATATTTATATTATATTTTGCTGAAAGGACTTTGATATTATGTTTAAACTTTTTCAATTTTTTAAAATACGATATCAATATACATACAGAGTAACAAAAAAGTTTGTGTGACAAAATTTTGTATGTTTGTCAAATTATTACATAGCTGATGTTATTTGTCGTCGTTTTGATGTCAAAATACTATAGTAATGTATATTTAAAAACAAATTCTGAAGTGTTACTGTATTATATTAAATACCAAAATAGACTGCACCAAAAAATTTTCATTTTTTGATGAACTCAAGACCTTTATTTGGCTGAGAGGCTTTATGACGGCTATTTTAATTATTATATTTTTTATATTTAATAAGATATTATTATCAGAGAATTCAGAGTTTGTTCTTTTGCAAATATATATACATTAATGATCCGATAAGCACAAAACTTTGTGGCCAAACTTCTTTATCATCCTGTAAATTGCCATGTTTATATATGTATATATTTATCATTAAAACTTACATTTAAAAATAATTACTTTAAAAATACCATGACTAAGTAAATATGAATTAAATTATTATCTTTTCTTATTCATTTGCGAGTCAAACTTTTTATGATTAAAGGAACATAAACTAATCAAAAATATTTGAACAAGGAAAAAAGAAATTTTTCCTATGCCAATCTAAGAATAATGAGAATAAAACAAAATCGCTGATAAAGATATAAACAAGAACATTTTCATTGTTTGTGTGCATTACATATAATTTAACTGAGTAGAGATATACAGAGTGCGAGTGTGATGTAGCAGACTAGTCTGATATACTACTAGAGATCCCGGATTCGATCCCAGGCAGAACCGAAAAATTTTCATACACTCGTAGCTCCTCTCGGAAGACAATGGCAAACCGAATAGTATACTTGCCCAGGAAACCTCCCTACCAAAAATTGCCGTTTGGAATCGGCGTTTAAACTGTAGGTCCTCATATACATTGTGTACGATCAATGTACGCACAAAGGTATATGAGAGGGTTGAGGGAGGCGCCTATGCGTTGAGATAACGTATGGCACTATGGAAGAAAAAGAAGAGATATACAATCGCATTCGTTCCAAGCTACTTTATATGAATATAATACAGTTTTAATCAAAAATATACACAGAATCTAATAAATAAATTGTGATAAACATCGAACAAGCTACTATTTACAGATTAAAAGGATTTAAAATATTATTCAAGACGATTTATTAATAAAATAAACTTAAAATGTCTTCGTAATTATAATTTAAATGATGAGAGTTTAATTATTTCTATAACAATTTTAATCGTCGGAATGCACTACACAATTTATTAAAGACGTTTCACATTTTTCGTCAAGACTGCAATTTTATTTTACCTTTGATATTTATCCATACAAATTAATTTTGTGTGATTTTGATATTACTTTCAAGCAATCTACGTTTCATTTATTTATAACCTATCCTATAACACTTTATCAACTTTTCTGTCCTTCGATTTTTTTTGTGACCGATAATTTATTAATAGATCGCGTCCCATTCGATTAAATATCAATCGCTCACTCAAAGTTCGGTAAAAACGGAGGATATTTTCTTCAAATATTCATCATTTCTCTACATTTTACATTCTGTCACGTAGCAAACGTATTACGCGGTGTGCTTTGGGTGTTGCCGTTTTTATCCTCTTTCTCATATTCCGCTCGATCGATCGTTACCTTTAATGATAAAACGCTTGGACGCAACTATACGTTGGGTGTGCATTTCTCGTTAACTCCTACACGTATATTCGCGAGAACGCACGTTGCCTAATGAGGCGTAATTGTCGACAGCTGCAGAAGCGAGATGGTGTTCCAGAATGATTTTTCCCTTTCGTAAGGCATTGGCAATTAGAGAAATCGAGCAAAGTCGGGGTCGTTTCAAGATGTTTCACCGATAATTACAATCAGACTTCTTCCCCGTTAATGAGGTGCGCGCACAAGAATTGTTATAGCGGAAGGGATTTGAATCGCGAATGTGAAAGACGAAATAGATATGCAAAAATTTATACATTTGTTCTTGTCATTCGATATGATGACTAAAAGAAAGCTCAATCGTTGTAAAAGAAGAGTATAAGATCAATATTCATTTACGGATTTTTAAGCGTCCACATTGTAGAAACGTATTGGAATTCGGACTGAAATTTGAATCGGAAGAATTCATTTCGGAATGGATTCTCATAATATTTTTTACAATAAATTATAATTCTGTGTTTTATATTACAGCAAATATTAATTTCAATCAGTTATAAATATTACAACTGACTTCTCAAAGCCTTTTCTAATATCATCAAATATTATTTACAATAAAAACAGAAATATAGTATTATTGTAATTTACAAAATGCATCTACGGGATTTTTCTTCTTGCAAAATTCAGAAAGCTGTACACTCGATTTAATAGCGAAAAGCGAAATTATATTTTCCGTAGATAAGCAACATACCGGATTTACTTTAATTGCGATTTACTTTCTGCGATAAAATTTTGTATTTTCTCGAGTTTTCGTGTGGTCCATAAAACGTTATTTCCAACTATACATTAGTGGTAATTTTACTACTAGCAGATTTTCCATTACTGCGCGTGACAGATGTAGGGTATGATATACGGTTTTTAAGATATGTATATTTATGATGTAAGTTACTGTAAATCGTGTTAGCGGTAAATTCATGTAGTCTCGCACAACAAATAAATATGCAAATTATCGTTCAGTTAAAAAAAATTAATTAATTATATATTCTAACTTTATCATGTATTATTATTCTTTCTAACAATAAAAGGAAGTATAAAAGTACATTATATAAAACTGTTTTGAAATAATATTCAAATTATATTCGATTTCTTCCTTTCATTACTCTTGATGCAATAAGTAAACGTACTAAATAAAAATTAGTTATGCAGTTCACAATATTAAGTTGAAAGTTTACTATAGAAAAAGAGCCTCTCTTCATACCGCGAATAAACAATCTTCCTTTATCGAAAATTGCAGCGTGGAATGTTTATTCAAAGCTTTATTTCACTGATAATTGCGAATCTTTGCGAACTCACGGCCGAGTCTTTTGTTGCTACTGAGACATTGTCCAGAAGAACGCGAAACTTCAAAGACGACTCTTCGCAAAGGAACCAGGACAATTTCATTTTAATTCCTCTCTTAACAGCTTTTTGCAGGCGCGATTGTCCTTGTCGTGTCTGACAGGCACAGTCGTTATACGCGATATAATGTAATTTCCAGCCTTAATGACCATGTTGAAACGAATAGAGGAAAAAGGAAGAAGGAAATGGGAGGGGTGCAGAGAGGGATGAGAGTGTTACAGACGCGCAAGATAAAATAGCGAAGCTAGAAATGAGGGTTGAAACACAAAGAAAAAGGAAGTTCAGAATTTATTAGGGTAAAAATAATCAGTCTACCGGGATTTCTTGACAAATATCGCAGAAAATTGAATACTACCACTGCTGACAATGAGAAAAAGGAAGGAATATATGTGTACATAAGAAAGGAGAAGAAAAGAGATTCGACGGTATGATATTCTGCATTACACATTGCACAGCAAGTCTATAAATAATATTGCTTAAAGTAAGTCGTAATGCTGAATAGTATTTGAAATGACTCTGTTTCAATTTTCCTTAGAAAATAAAAATATAAAATGAAAAATCGAGAGACTAGATGCTGAGTAAATATACGAGTAAAACAAAGTACGATAAACCACTCGTTTCGCATTATCTATTTCAAACAGGATAATCAAGAGTTTATGTTCGCGGCGAATCGTTATCTGGACAAAGTGATTCAACTTTACACGGCATTTCGCACGGAGAAACTTCGTTGTTTAACACTCGATATTCGCGCAGCGTGGAGCTGCCGCTAGGAAGGCAATTTTATAACAATTGCAATCGCGTGAAAGTTTTTTCAGCGTTTAAATTACCGAGCGGCGCTCCATTGGTTTCTTTCCCTTTTTTTCTAAAAAATGCATAAGGATCTTTTCACGAACGATTGACGCATGGTTCAGTTCTTTACTTTCGTTCTTTCTTTCTTTCTGTTCTCACATAGAGACATGGAGCACGATGCTGCCCACGGCGGGTGCTGGCGATTACTGGGCTTGGGATTACAGTGAGTCTCGCTAATTACAAAACCAAAGCATCCATAATAACGTGGTGCAGTGGTGGTAGAGATACGAGTACGAGTAATCAGTAGATCGTAGCTCTAGTTAAAATGTTTCCATATATAGACCCCTTGGATACAATCGAATAGATTCTTTATCAATGCGAAATTGAATGCAATGACTTAAGTAGCATAACACACAACTTGCTGATGAAAACTAATCGATAAAAACATATAATTAAATATTTAAAATCGCTAATAATATCAATAATAGTATTATTAGCGATTTTAAATATTTAATTATATGTTTTTATTATGTATAAGTATATTCGAAATAAGAATGAAATTGTTTAATAAGTTAACAAGTTAAATTTTATTTCATTATGGCAACAAAACCGTTTAGTTATTATTTATCCACCGATATTTAGAACTAATTTAGGTACGTAATTTATTGCTCTACTTTGTTTATACAGAAATCGTTTAAGTAAAATTATAGTTCTCCTATGTAGTTTCCATTAGTGCATTACAAAACAGAAGATCCTTTAATATATTAAGTAAGATTTCTGTTGTAATGAATGTAATCGTTAAATTTCACACTCTATCTGTTATTTCACCCTTTCGAATTTACATATTATGTATTACGATTTTATACTTTCAAATAAATTAGAAAATTTCTAATTCAATAAAAAAATAACATTAATATTTAATAAATTATTTGCAGCTATATGATGACAACATGATAAAAATATTAATTTCAAGCAGGTTCATAATTAAATAAAGTTTGGACAAAT